AGAAACTTGTCAGCAATGCAGCTGCAGTTATCTCATGTAGACTGACAGCAAGCAAGAGAACGTAGCTGTCAGTAAAGTTTACAAATCCTTTCTCAATTCAATATAGATTAATAAATTGCAAGGTGCAAAGACCTTCCTGCTTGAATTTAAATCCTCTGGTGATAGGAAGGCGGCAGGTATATCATGGACCCAAATTCCCACTCTCTCCCCTCCTCCCCATTATCTTGCCCTTACATGACTTCCCCACTGCACCTCTGGGGGGAAGATTCTCTCTTTAAGTTTTCTTGAAATTTCACTGGACAGCTTTGGAAAATGTTATTATTCATTCATTAACAAGATATAAGAATCTCTGGCATTTATTATCCTTAATTGAATGGCATGCAAAACCACTTCAGAGGATTCCTTTTTGATATAGATCTGGAATAGAATGTGGGCAAGACTAGTTAAGGATTGCAGATTTCATTCCCTGAAAGACACGAGTGATCCAGTCGGACTTTACAGCAATCTGATCGTTTAATGGTCATCATCACTGATAATAGTTTTTTTATTCCAAATTTATTGAACTGAATTCAAATTGCCCAGCTGTTGTGGTGGGGTTTAAACTTCTTTTCCAGATCATTAATCCAGACCTCAAGATTAATAGTCCAGTAACATGATCACTTTTTTTCCAGCTCTAGACCTTCATCGGGTCTAGGCCCGAGACGTCAGCCTTCCTGCTCCTATGATGCTGCTTGGCCTGCTGTGTTCATCCAGCTCTACACCTTGTTATCTCTTATTTATTTTGGTTAATCCTTGGGAATTTTCAATCAACAGCATTTTACCTCTTGTTACAAGTAGCTCTTGGCAGTGAGAAACGTGCTCTTGTCCAGACACACAGAGAATACTCCAGCAGAGAATTATTTAGCTGCATCTTGTTCCTCGAGATCAAGAACTAATTAACGAAACAGGCTAATGAATTTCTGGGCAGAAACGGGCAAATTGTATCTGGATAGAAATAATTTATTTGTCTCTTTTGTTGTTATTCATTCTTGACTTCTGATTTTTTTTTTAAATGCTGAGCTAATATATTTTTAAATCATCTTTATGGTAAGTCATCCCATGCTGTTATAGCACTGTCCGTGAAAATATTGACTTCGACCTTATCTTGAGTCTGGGAACTCATTTAGTTACCACTGGGTAGAATCTTTACTGTTAACTATCTCAAAACTTTTCACAATTACAAGATTCTTCATTGTAAAATTTAGCATTTTTGTGGTCCCAGTTGGGTGCCCAGAACTCAGTGATTTTTTTTCACGAAATGCCACTGCCAATATATCATTTAAGTGCGTCCCAGTGTGTTAGTTAACATAGCATCTCTCACAAAGGTGAGATTCTTGATGAGGCAGCTGTCTTGAAGTTTTCAAACAACACTGACTATTTACATTGTTGTGATATTTCAGACTTACGCTTGGCCTTAATTCTGTGCTCAATGACAATTAGTGTTATCTTACATGGACTAAACTAACTGACTGAACACACAACACTGACTTATTGCATTGATCACGGAGTGACTAAAAGCAAGGACCATTATGTTAGAATGTCACATTTTGTGATATCATGTAACTGTCTTAAAAGGTGCCCACTCTGTCTAGTCTGGAATCAATGCAATAATACAACCTTAAATAATGCTGCAACTGTAGCCAAACCAATGTCAGGTATAAATTCATCAACTACCTTTGCTTTTTCATTCAACAGCCTTATATATCCCACAAGTTGAACTTACAGCTTTCTCTCTTTTTCTTCAATCTTTAAAGATGTACATGTCCTTAATTCTATATCTCCATCATAGTCCACTCTGAAAGAAATTAGCTGTTTAATACCCATTTCTTTTCCAAAAACTGCTTATACTTCACACTTCTCAGCATTGACTAACAGCTGCTGGTAATTAAAAGCAAAATACTGTGGATTTTGGAAATCCAAAATAAAAGCAGAAAATGATGAAAATATTCAGCAGGTTTGGCAGCATTTGTGGAAACAGAAAATGTTAATCGTTTGAGTCCATTGTGATCTTCAGAACTCAGTAACTGTTCTCTTGGTTAACTTTTAACATTAAGCCTTTAACAAAATCAAAACAGCTTGAACTTTTGTATCACTATTGTTTGCAGAAATTTACAATGTGTGATTTTGAATCCTTAGATTCTAAGAGCTGGTGATGGCAGCAATCCTTAAATTCAAGGATAATGTCTCTTGAATATTGCAAGTTTCTGCCGTGGATCTTCCTATGACCAGAAAGGCCAATTGTCAACCCATATATCATTTGGGCACACATGGGCCAGGACCTCTCACAAAGTAATTGGATCACAATTTCACTTCCTTTGTTTTTATTTCTGTTCAATTCCTTTTGTTTTTGCTACTCTGCCCCATCATGAAAACATTGGGACTCCAACTATGATAATACTTAACGGGCAAGTTGTCACCATTCTGAATGATTGGTCATGAGTTCCTCCCACTCATTAAAGCCAATGCTGCTGCACTTCAAGGAGAGCTTCAGAGTGTCTTTGAAGCAATTTCTTTGTCCATCTCTGGAACATTATGAATGCCCACACTTCAAATTTGAATGTAACTCAATCAACTTTGAAGTTCTTTGTCACATCCTGATGCCACAAAAGGTGTTGAAGTAAATCTTGTTCCTCCTTTCTAATCTGATTTGATATCATGCTTTATTTCTAAATCCTTCTTGGAAAAGGAAACACAAAATAGGTTCACGAGTAGACCTTAGGGGACACCAAAATACATCTCAGCAATCTTAAATCAATTAATTTGTTTTTAATCTTTGCCTTCTATTTTCTATCTCTATGTCTGTCTATCTATCTATCTAATCTCTTTTATCCATCCATCTAATCAGTTTATCTAATCTATTAATGTAATCAATAATGCTTGCTAGGGTGTACTTTCTAAACTCTGCTGAATAAGCCATATATACATCTGCCCATCCCTTGTTCTACATACTTTCTGTGTTCATCAAAACATTCAAGTTGTGAATCCATATTATCTATTCTGATTTACCTCGTGTTTTTAAGAGTTCACTATTTTGATACATGTTCAGCTTTTGCCACCTGCTATCACTGAAGTGCCTGGCTGACAGATTCATGATTTCTCCCTTTCATGAGCAAAGGTATAACAATTGCCACTGCTGTTTCCCCTGCTCGACCCATTTTTTAATGTTTGTGAAATTTTTATGTGTGTTGTGACTTTTTGCTCCTCTTCACTTGACTTTAGAATAAAAGGAAAATTATACGGCTTTGAGATCATCTCTACCTTTTAGTTCCAGAAAGGTGTCGGTAGCCCATGTAAATATAGCGCTTAACATTTCGCAGTGTCACCTACTTTCTGCAAGCTGCAATAAAGAAACAACTGTTGCTATGCTATTGTTGTAGTCTGTGGTTTTACCTTCAATTCTGACTTCTCGAAGCCCTGATTTTAATCATTTCTACATTGGTGTTTATTTCTTCAGCTCCCAAGGCCCTAATAAGTGGAATTTTCTCCATCAACTTTCCCAATCATTTCTACCTTTGGCTTCCCATCAGCCTCTACCTTTTCAACCAAGCTTTTGATCACCTGTACCAATATATCTTTATGTGGTTTGTTATCTGGTTGTTTGATAACACCCTCCTAGGTGTCCTATCATATCTTTATGTGGTTTGGTAGTTGGTCTGTTTGATAACACTTCCATAGGTGTCTTCGCAAGTTTGCTGTGTTAGATGTGCTCCATAAACTTGAGTTGTTTTAAACATAACCCCATCTTCAGTTTAGTGCAACTCAGGTAGGCATTCTCTTGAGAGGTACTGCAATAGGGTTAGGGAGTTTTCTGTCTTCCAAAGTTTCAGGATGGCCTTGCATTTACAGACAATGAGTTCTGGCACGTTGTGGTATTTTGAATATTAAATTTGTAATATTTATGAAATGCTCTGGAAATAGACCAGTGTAAAACTGAAGCAGGAGTATATTTAGCATAAATTTCATATCCCCCCAGCTTATATTAATTCCAGTGGACCATCAGAAAACCAGTAATATTTCCTGAGACATAAAAGCCACATTTACCAATTAATTAGTGTGCCATGTTGTGCTTCTCAGTGTTAATGAAACTGTCCTAAATAACAGCTGGATTGTCACATCCCATTACTGTCAGCACAAAGTAACTGTTGTTCATTATCATTCCACAACTTCACAGCTTCTTTGCTTCCATTGTATTTTCCAACCTTATCAATCCAGAGCTTCCATTTCTGATTTCATCAGAAACCTGCATCTTCAAGTTGCTGCCTAATCCTCATGCTTCTCTAAACTTCCAAAGTCAACCTAATTTTGCAGGTAAGAAGTTCCACAGAAGCCCTGCAATGCACAGCAGGCAAGTGCATCTCGATGTAGCCTTAAGCACTGACCTAAAAATGAAATCCAATGTGCTTTGAACCACCTTGTGTGGCTCAGTATGAATATTTGTTTGATAACATTCTTTTGAAGCCCAACTTGTGATGTTTGTTATGGGAGATTCCAACATTCAAAGTATATTCAACATGAGGCTCAAGTTAGTGAAAACGCAATGCTTTCATTTGTCTCCAAAAATAGAATTTTCAGCCTGAGCTTTATTAGTTTTGAAACAGGAATGTATAAGTAGGAGTCTCTGCTTCTTGTAACCCTGTGGCAGGAACACACCAGTCAAGTTCTGATAAATTAAAAATTATGCATCCCAAACTTATTTTGAATGGATGTACCATCGTAGATTTGACTGTAATCTATAGAAATTCTTTTTCTATGCTGCCCCGAGCGATGTTTTGTTTCATCAGAAAGGCCATGGGAGAATCTCTCCTCTCTTTCTTAATATATGTATTTCAAAATCACTGTGATATGTTTCTGAAGTTGTGAAATATGGTCTAATGTCAAAACTGCTCAGCAGAAGCCATGAAAGTCATATCCTGAGACCAGGGTCATTAGTTAATCATAACTTTGATCCTTCTATCTTGCAGCACTAAAGCGCAGTTACACTTGCAGTTTGTGTCATGTGATCCTGAATTCCATCGAACAGTACCATGCTCATCTCCAGGGATCAAAGCATCAGACTAAGTAAGTGGCCTTAATTAACTTTATTCAATTTTCTTAGGCTTGTGCTCCTTGGCAGTGCCATGTGTTTGCACCTGACTTCAGTTCTTCATTGAAAACAACATGTATGAAAATGGTACAAGAATAAGGACAAAGGCGGAAAAGATATATCACTTTAGATGTAGTAAGAACTGCTGACGCTGGAGTCAGACATAACACAGTGTGGAGCTGGAGGAACACAGCAGGCCAGGCAGCATCAGAGGAGCAGGAAGGCTGATGTTTCGGGTCAGGGTCCTTCTTCAGAAATGGGGGAGGGAGAAGGGAGCTCTGAAATAAATAGAGAGAGGAGGGGTGGAGCTGGGGAAGGTAGGTGGGATGGTGATAGGTGAGTGCAGGTAGGATGCTGCCTGGCCTGCTGTGTTCCTCCAGCTCCACATTGTGTCATCACTTTTGATGGCTACTTTTACGTTCCAGCTCTGCTTTAGGGTTCCTGCTTCCTGCCTAATGCATGCAGAAGTCTGATTATGGCAGTATTCTGATTGAGCCAGAACCATAGATTTGCATAAGGGTTGTGCCTCTCCATTATTTAGCTGACCACTCACATAATTTCCAACCTCCCCAAACCCCTATCTCTATCACTTTGTTGACCATTGACAGCGGAGATGAAGTTTTCATTGAATAGAAATATAAACGAACGATGACCATAAGTTGGGAAGAGCTTTGGAAAAAAATAATGAAGGTGCTATTTGTACTTAAAGAAATCATATTTTTGTTCCACCATACAGGATAATGGTTAACCTGATTAGGTCATTTCTCACTGCAGTTTCATATTGTTCGTGTGCAGGGGCAAGACGAGTAGTGTTCACCACAAACAAGATGTTGCAATCAAAGCAGAAAGATATTCGGCCTGCTCCTAAAATAAGTAATTGGAATATGAATTTCCATGCCAGTGTAATGCCAGGTGTTAAGGTAGCAGTTTCCAAGAACTTGCTGAATGTGACAAACAGAATCTCTTTTGGTTGTTCAAAATTAACAACATACTGCTCAACTAGCCCATGACTGCACAACGCACAATCCAGTTTATAACATTTGATGCAATTCACAGATGGACAATATTTGTTACATAATCCTCAGTGTTGCAGAGAACCAGTTATGCTGACAACCAATTCTGGATCCTCAGTTGAGCGCTCAGTGTCGTGCATTTTCATTTACTGGAAGCAATACGTATTAATACAAAAGCCCTGTACTTTGTTGAAAGAAAGAACATGCACACACACTGCACATGTTTCAATGCAACAAAGTAGGTGACATTCTCTGGTTCATTTCTCAAGGCAGTATTCTGACCACTGAAAGTCAGCCAGCCCTGTTTAAAATTTAAACAAAGTTTGGGAGTTAACCATCATTGTTGTGGTTGTTACAAGGTCAGAGTTCATAGGATATGAATTCCCTGATTGGACCAGATTAACTGCCCCAATCAGGGAGCCCTGGCTGTCAGACAAGAACAGAAATGTCAGACATCCTGTTCACTCTGAGAGTTGGCTCTGAGGAAGCTTGATCAGTGTCAAAGACTCTCCATCTGTGAATAAAGGGTGACTTGGTGAAGGGATTATGGCCTCTGTGGAGTTAATTCAATCATTAACTGGTTCATTCTCCATGGCTTCATCTATACCAATGAAAGTCCACCTGCCAACTAATCAGCTGTCTCCTCTCAGACAGTATAAATGTTCTTTTCACTTTGTATTGATGTCTCTTGCAAATTGTGCCGATAAGTGCGAGACAATAATGTGACTGTCGTATGAGTACTTATTTTCATTCCATTCAGTCTCCCCATTGTTAACACTAGGGCAAGTGGTGTGTGTTTGACTCTAAAAAGGTACTTTGACTCTTATGCAGCAATGCTTCTGTCATCTCCCATAACATAAGAAATTGCATGTGGATATTATAGAATTGAAGAGTTTAACAGTCATGTATTCCAAATAACAATTGTGGCAAACAGTACATTCCTTGGACAGATGTGTGTCTGGGACAGCATTAGCTTGGAGGTTACAAAAGAGGAGCCATGGAGTGCCATGCTTCAAGTGATTTCAGTTAAGATGGAGATTGAGATCATTATACTTGTAGTCACGTGCTCTGATACAGTGAAGATCTCAAGAGCATGCCCCTTAAAAGTATAATGACCATAACACATAACGCAGCATCCTCCCCTTCCTCTTTCTAATGTTAAAAACCTATCGCAGACAGGTATATTTGATCGCACACAGGCACATGTTGTCAATTTGCGCAAGATAGGAAAAACAGAGATTATAGGTCGAACATTTCGAACTTCAATTTGATGTTTTGGAGGTTTAATATCCATGATTGACTTGTGAGTGTATACCTGTCTGGAGACATATCCTGTGTTTTGGTTTGCACCTGATTGATAACTTGGTTGTCTTGCTGCTGGTTGTTGTCACCCAACATTGCCAACACAATCATTGTCCAATATTCATCTTCTCTCTCTTTGTGCATGATTGTTGTGCCATTAAATTGGTCTGACTGGCCTTCTGTTCTTTTACACTGTGGCACCATGATCAGTTATGACTTTGTATGATGTTGCCAGATTGTGTACTTTAGAAACCTTTGCTACCGTCAAAGTGCCTGTTTTTGTATTTCTAATTTGCACGCTCTGGCCAGTGTACAATTTTGGTACCTCTGCATGCTCAGTTGTCATGTTTTATTCTTGGTCTTTAAAAAAGAATGTCCTCAGAATGGCGAGACAGTTGATTGCTGTGCAATGTCATTGGCATTTACCTTCTGAGCTTAAATTGTGCTGGGAATGGTAATCCCTTCTGCATTGTTGTTGCACAAAAATACAGCAATGCAATGCAAAAGTCTTATATTGTTGCTCCACACCATGTGATCATGGATTTAATAAGACATACTACATGTTCTGCTGGACTGTTTGACCATAGATAGTGGGTGATGATGTCGTATGGGTCATTCGCCACTTCGTACACATCTTGAAATGGTTTACCACTGAACTGTGATCCATTGTCACAGACTATCTGATCGGTTAGACTGGATAAACTGGAAACATGTCACAATGGTCACATTCCTTAAGTTGCTAAGTCATTGAACAATGTAAAATTCAGAAAAGTAATCCATCCCAAGGATGTAATCTTGCCCACGCACTGTGAATCAGCCTGTTGCTACATCTGTCAATGAGTGGATGGGAAATCTTGTAAATGCAGAGGCTTCTTTCACATCGATGGTTGAAATATTTGGCGTGCCTGACATGATTCAAGAGTTGTGGGATGCTTCATGGTTCATACCTAACCTACGCATCTGTTTAGCTGCTTAGATTCACAGAAATTAATGCGAGTTAAGGATGAGAAATTTATTCTTTGTTCAAATACTCCATTGTCTAAAGCTATTGTCAGGTGGTCTTCAGTTAGTTTTCCAAATATCTGACACCAAGAAATTGGGAGTCTTTTGTTGATGACCACTGTTGCAATCATGTTGTACATTGCCTCCAACAAGATTTTTTTTACCTGATGTGGCAGTGTTTATGTTTTCTTCCATAACTGGGTGGCACAGTGGTTAGCACTGCTGCCTCGCGGCACCAGGGACCCAGGTTCAGTTCCACCCTTGGGTGACTGTCTGTGTGGGGTTCTCCCATGTCTGCGTGGGTTTTCATTGGGTGCTCTGGTTCCTTCCACAACAAAAAGATGTTCTGAGGAAGGGTCACCGGACCCGAAACGTTAACTCTGTTTTCTCCTCCACAGATGCTGCCAGCCCTGCTGAGCTTTTCCAGCAACTTTGTTTTTGTTCCTGATTTACAGCATCCGCAGTTCTTTTGGTTTTTAAAAAGATGTTCAGGTTTGGTGAATTAACCATGCTAAATTTCTATGACTCTATGAACTGAAGAAATTTAGTGTGGATACCATGATATTAAAGAATCCAACAGACATTTAATACAAATAATTATTATATGAAATATGTACGTAACAGAATACAGACATTGTATTTCCTCAGACCTTGTCGGGCTCAAATTGACCTAGTAGTTTAGAACAGCGAAGCGCATTTCCAGCAGTGTCATGCTTCAAGTGATCTCTGTTAATATGGATGAGATCTTTAAACCCTTCGGTCTCATGCTGTTATTCAGTAATGATATTGTGAGCATGTCTATTTAAGATACACTGACTGTGAGTTATAATTCAAGAGTGAGGCCTTTGCCTCCAATTAATTCCAGCCCATAAGATTGTAAATAAATAAGCAAAGGAATGTAGGATAGTTTAGTTATTGCAGGAATATTGTCTGGACTAATGAAAGCCTACAGACTTTATTAAAAATTAAAACAGCAATTACATCGAGCATAATTGGTCAACAAAACCATTCAAAGAGAACTTTTTTTTCCTGGGAAATCTCCATTTTGTGTGTACAATTGTCTGATTCCAAGTGAAAATTGATAGAGCATTTCTCATTTTCAGCATAACCTTTTTGCAAAGCAGGTCCCTTGTCCAATTTGCATCTCACCATGCACCAGATTAAGGGTTTGTTTTTCTTCTGTGAAAGATCATTGATTTTCATGGATTACAGTAGGAGAACACATTTTCATGAGTTAATCCATAGTTTACATCAGAGATATTGTTTTATCCTGTCCACATAACCAGGTATTCAAATTCTCTTTTATATATCTGAACACAGTGAATAATATCATACTTTTTTAAATTGGATTTTGCAACACAATTTGCAAACATGAACATGGTTATTTTTAGGGCCTTTGTAAACAGTTATTTTTGTGCCGTGAAAATAACTAAATATTACACCACCTTTTTTCACTGTCTACAATAATTGAGAAACAAATCTTGGCTGAATTTTGCTGTTTCATGCTTTTTGCTGTTACCAATCTATAAGTTGTCCAACAACTTAGATTGAAGGAGTCTGCCTCATGAATTGCACATTGTCACATTTTTCTGGACAATTCGCACAGCTCCCTGGTCACCTCATTGGAAATGCCAGCACTCCCTGAACCCGCATGTCTT